TATCCCTCAAATAGAATGGACAACTCAATTTGAGTTAGTTTGTTTTTCGGCGCTTTTTCCTCATCGATTTTCGTCTGCACCTGCTAATTATCGTATTCAATGATTTATGTCTTGGCCATTTTAAATTTATCATTTGCCTTCGCTGCGCAGTCTCGATATCACCTTGATGGATCGTCGATCGTTTGATGGATTGTGTGAACCGGCAGAGGGAGAGGCAGAGGGCGATGGCGAGGGAATGGGCCTGCACTTGTCTAGGCCTCATCATTACGAGTACCTCAAGTGGATTTCTGACATCTTGCTTTGTTTCTCGTTATGGCGTTCATGTTTCTGCCTATTTCAATTTGTACGTAATTAATGATTTATTCAAGTTTCGCCGAGTGTTGTCTCAATTCCATAGAATCGATTATTAATGATTCTTTCCGACGGTTCGTGTCCAACTGGCGTATAACTTCAATATGTTGGACTTTCTCAAACTCATTCGACTTTGATATATTAGAAATGGCAATGGCTGGGGACTTTAATATTAATTTATGAATATAGTATTTCGTTAATAACATATTTTAGATATTGGGTTTGAATAATTCTGGTCATGTCTTAAAATTTCAATTGCTCAAAATATTTTTTTAAGTGCAGTCAATAAAATAAATCTTGTTTTTATGTATATGCAAATTTTGTTAAATACAATTATAAATGGCATAAATAGTTTTCTAATAATTCAAATAGTAGATAAATTTATTGAAATGTGTATAAGAAATAATATAAAATTCAAAAATATTATATGAAAAACAAATTTAATTATGTTCATAAATATTATATGATTGAACATGAAATAAGTTCTTAAATATAAAATGTAAATATTATATGTAAATTAGTTTGTTATTATTATTATTTTTTGCTTAATGTGGATTATTTTGGCTTTAGCTTTAACTTAACAGAATATTGTAATTATTTCAAAATATTTAATGTTGATTGAAAATATAATTCCAAAATAAAATAAAATACCATAA